TTTTTGTTAAATTACCTATAGGCAATTTTTAACGATTGATCCATAGTTAATTTGCATATTTTGTGGCGGGGGGGCTGGTCGGGCAACGGTCGTCTGCAGCTTCTTTTGGCTTCGACAGCTGTTCGACTAGTGGAAAAGTAAAGCCGTGCTCTGCAGCCATGGCTGGAAAAGTCGAAGGCACACGGCAGTTGCAACTGTCTTTCAGCTTGCAAACTGTCAACGACGAGCAGCAGATAGACCCTCTCGAGGTTGCCAAGACGTTAATGGAGGATTCCCAGAAGTCACAAGGGGAAGCCCCAGACGGCAGCACAACCGCCAAAGACAAGGTCGACGTCACAGCCGCCGAAGACGAAGCAAAGACGACAGGGAAAGCGAAAGCCAAAGCCAAGGCCAAAGCGAAGGCCAAAGGGAAGGCCGAGCCCAAGGCCAAAGCGAAGGCCAAAGCGAAGGCCGAACCCAAGGCCAAGGCGAAGGCCAAGGCTGCAGCAAAGGCAGACGAGTCAACGGCCGAGGTTCCAAAGCCTGAGGGCACGACAGAGAAGAAACGGAAGGCCCCGGAAAAGCCGGCTGAGGAGCCCGAGAACAAGAAGCCAGAAAAGAAGAAGGCTAGCGAAGTGCTGCGGGAGCGAGCCACGGCCCTCGTTGCGGAGCTTCCAGAGGAGCAGCCGCAGGAGGCTGAAGTTGGCGACTCGAAGATCCGTGACAGGCGAAAGGCCTGGTTCTTTGAGAAGAGTCTGCCAACTCTTTCGACGGACCTGCAGAAGTTCTTCAAGAGCAAGGACGTCTCACGTGCTTCTTGACATGATTGGTCTGTACTGTTGGCGTAGGGTGGCTAGGTTAAGAATTGTATTTTTTTCGTGTGCCCCTCATATTTCTCAGGCTGACAAGACTCGCTTGGTCAACGAGGTCGTGAAGCCCGGCGAGAACACTAAATGGGAGATCGACCAGGAGCATCCCATTGTCGAGACCCTGACTTCTCACTACCGTTCCGTGATCGGGAAGACGAAGCAGAAGTCTTACCCGAGAGCGATTATGGTCGCTAAGTGCGGCGGGGAGTCAGCCTTTCTGCAGTCGGTGCGGGATGGCGACATAGTGGAGATCAAGGATCATGGCCAGACCCAGTACATGTACAGGCAGTTGGAGGTTCAGCACCGGACGGCTGTGAAGCAGCAGACCCAGCTGCGGCAAGGCACCCGCTGTGACCAGGAAAGCAAGGAGAAGTTTGAAGCCTTCTGCGACAACTTCGACCCAGAGTTTGAAGCGTTGGTGCCAGCGAGCAGCTCCGGTAGTGTCGCCTCGGCTTTCGCAGTGCCAACACCGTCCCCGGCCCCGGCCCCTCTGGCCATCCTTGACAAGCAGCCAGATCCCCAAGTGCTACCTCTGCTGGACCCTAAGCTGCTCGAGAGGATCGATCAGGCCCTGAGCTGGCTGGTGCAGGCCAAGCAGGCCACTTATCGGCTCCAGAGCAGCACGTCGGGCACCTGGCTCAGCCTCAAGCGTCAGTTGGACGACAAGTGGGCTCAGCTGCTTCCGTTGCAGTCACAGCTTGAAACCTTCAAGCTCTCCAACAAAGGGAGCGTGGCTCAGGTGAAAGCCGTGCTGCAGGGTGCAGCCACCAAGCTTTTGGAG